CACAGCGATTCAAGCAGTACCTGGCAGAACGAGGCATCAAAAGGCTCATCTCCCTTCCCTACGCCCATCAACAGCAAGGCGTAGCAGAAAGAATGAACAGGACCCTACAGAACACCATGCGCAAACTGCTACGTGGCATGCGGCTACCCACCCACCAGTGGCCTGAGGCGATGGACCACTCTGTCATGCTGCACAACCTGCTCTCTTCGTTGTCACTCCGAACAACGCATCACCGCACCTGCTGTGGACAGGAAAATTGGGTAGCACAAAAATATTACGGGTTTTCGGCTGCATGGTACAGTACCGACCCCCAACTGCATGAGTTGGCCGATTCTCCCTACGCGCTCAGTGGGGGTTACACCTGGGCATCGAAAAGAATTACAACGCGTGGAAGATTTTCGACATCCACTCAAAAGAAACAGTAGCAGCACGTGATGTCATTTTCTACGAACGACTCACACTCCCGACGTACCTTGCCAACCTGGAAGAAAACCGGGACCCCACAGGCGGTTTCCGTGGTGACCGAGCCTTCGCCTCAGCAGCAGACAAAGCTGACCTGGACGAGCAGAACGTGGACGGAGCCTCGGAAGCAGCCGGACCTCTACCTTACTGTTCGGTCGATGTTCCCATGGACGACGAAAACCCTCGCGACAGCATCAACGCCGAAGTCTTCTACGATTTCGCCGACACTGGTTACGTTACACCTGCAAGGGTCAACACCGACGAAGCAGAACGCATAGGGCCAAACTTCTTACCCGATCCAGAAGCGGGAGATGAAGCAGTCTATCCCGAGGATACAACACTCCCCCGCTACACACAGAGCGGCCTCCAGATCCTCGGCCTCGTCACCGCGGTTCACGGCACGGCGATTCCTAAGGAGCCTGCCACAGTTCAGCAGGCTCTGGGGGGGGAGCATAGGGAAAAATGGCACGAAGCAATGGAGAGGGAGCTGAAAGCACTGGAGGAACGCAACACCTGGAAGGTCGTTCCTATCAGCGTGGCACAAAACAAACAATTTTCCACCGGGAAATGGGTCTTCCGTGTGAAAACTAAGGCAGAATGCACCATCAACATGTTTAAGGCGCGCTGGGTCGTACGCGGCTTCGACCAAGAGCACGGACGCGACTTCACTGAGACATTCGCCCCAGTCAGCCGACACACCTCACTGCGAATTCTCCTCGCGATCGCCGCCATGAAGAAGAAGAAGCTGCGGCAAATTGACGTCGCCAACGCATTCCTCTACGCACCTGTCGACGCAGAGATCTTCGACGAACTACCACATGGGTCCAACGGAGAACCCAATCACATCTCTCAGCTACTGAAGTCATTGTACGGCATCAAATAGGCCCCAAGACTGTGGCAGCAGTACCTGCTCGCTCGACTCAATCGCATCGGATTCCGTCAGCTACCTCACGACCAAGGCATGTACCGGCTCACAAAGGGCGCCGACTACATACTGTTGATCGTCTACATAGATGATCTACTCTACATCGGTTCGACCGACGACGTCACCACCTGGTTCAAAGGAGAGCTACAGAAGGACCTTACGCTCACGGTTTCGTCCACCGTCACGCAATACCTCGGCCTCAACATCCAGGAAGAAGAGAACGCGATTTACCTTAGCGCTGCGAAATACGCCGAAACCATCGCTAAACGCTTCGCACTTACGCCGACTGTCATCTCCACACCGTATCGCTACACGGGAGGAAAATCACAAGGAAGGATCTGCTCCGCTAAAGCCCGCCGGCATACGCGACTACCAGAGAAAGCTGGGCTGCCTCCTCTTCGCAGCTGTCACTTGCCGTCCGGATCTACCTCTCATACTCCGCAAGTCAACTCGCCACCTACCTCAAGAAACCCGAAGCAGAACACATGGCAGAGCATGACCGCGCACTCCACTACCTCGTCAGCACCCCGACAATCGGCCTGACCTACTACAAGAACGGAACTACAACGCCTAAGTTAATCGGCTACGTCGACGCCGACCACGCCGGAGATTCTGACAACAGGCGCTCGCGCACAGGCTACATCTACCGCTTCGAGCCTATCGGTCCTATCTCCTGGCAGTCGAGTAAGCAAGAACTAATCGCCCTTTCTTCAGCTGAAGCAGAATATATTGCACTCTGCTCAGCCACCAAGGAAGGATTGTACCTTCGCGAATTACTGGAGGAAGCAAAGTTGGCTCAGTTACCCAACTTCTCCCTATTCTACGACAACCAGTCGGCGATCCGCATAGCAAACAAGAGCGGATTCGTGAACCGAACGAAACACATCGCCTTGCGATATTTCTTCGTGAAGGACGAGATCGAGAAGGGGAGACTCGAGCTGTCATACTGCCCCACGTCCGAGATGGCAGCCGATTACTTGACCAAGAAGCTCGGAAAGCAGAAGTTTGAGTACTGCATGCTGCTGACTGGACAGAGCCACGTCACCAGCAGCGACACTCCAGAAGCGAAGGGGAGTGTTGGAAATAATGATTTAAGCGCCTCTGTCGTGTCGAAACAGTAAACACAAACGGAGCAAGCAACAGCGCAGCAACGGCGAGTCAACCATCGGAGGTTGACAAGAAATGGTAACCGCTGGAGGTTACGCGAAGGTCAAAGGTCACGCGACCTTTGACTCGACAAGTACAGTGCGACAGCAAGGACAAACAGCTGATTCGTTATTGAACAGCTGCCCGAGTCGTCACTATATCGAACCGCAACAGCAACAGCAAAACGGTTATTAGTTATGACTCATTGTATTCTCTTTATCCTTATAAAAGGCCTTGTATCTCCTTGCTTTAATCAATCTACTTTGCCCTCACATACCAGCGCAAGGTGGTTCAACAATCTTCATTAAACGCTTCCGCTATTACATCATTCCTACTACGAGCTTAGTCTTGTAAAAGATCCTAAGGGCTCACTCAGCCCAACATGGTATGAGAGCGGTCAGGACAAACTCCACTATTAAGAAACCTACAACATCAGAAGGCATGGCTACTCAGAAGGAGAGAAGCTCCTCCAATGGCTCTCACGGCACCACACCTACTCCACCTCCTGCCTCTGGTCTACAAATAGAGGAGGGTACGGCAACGAGACCAACAGCAAGGTCCACCAAGACTCCTGCGAACCAACCCGCAGGCTTCGACCCAAGCATGATGGAGAAATTCTTCTCCTTCATGTCCTTCTACGAGCAACACCAGCAATCAACACCTGCACAGTCAAACAACAGCAACAACAACAACGACGTGACACCCATGAGTCTCGACGGCTCATCGTACGCGCGCGGAAATCAGCAACAACAGCCAACCTTTGCTCCATTTGAGCCCCAGCGCGGCTCCATCAGCTTCATGCCGTATCAGCAGCCTTCAGCTGGACAAGAGAAAAACTTAGACGCACTTCAAGCTCAGTCACAGTTCGCGCACGTTTTGAAGCTGCAAACGTCAAGACCGTTCGATGGAAAAGACTTTTTTACCTGGTCGTTTGAGTTCGAGCTAATGATGGAGGGCGTGCAAATTCTTGGCTTCTTCGACGGGTCCCTGCCATACCCAATAAACGGCACGCAGTACGACAAGCAGCAGTACACTTATCAGTCAATGATGGCATACACAATCCTGCTGAGAAACATCACTCCGAGTCAGCAGCAGAACATTCGGTCTTACCGGGGATACGGCAACTCCGCCGAGCTCGCGTACAACCACCTGAAGAACCTGTATCAAGCAACGGACAGCGTCAATCAAAGTCGATTAATGGCGCAATTGACAAGAGTAAAAATGAAACCGGGCGAAAAGTGAATGGCGTATATCAGTCGCTGTCGCGAGTTGCGCGACAAACTCCTTCGATGCGGAGGGTCGATATCAGAAGACGCCTTCGTCACAGTCGTCATTGGCGGTCTTGGTCCTCAGTGGCGCTCCACTCGCGCCATACTCCGAGCCCACGGGAAAATCTCCGAAGCAGCACTCTGCGCCGAGATCCACGCCGAGCAGCAAGACATGGACCTGCAAGAAGAACGGCACAAAAGAAAGACGTTAGTACCTGAGTTTGCCTTCCACACTCAGCGGCGCTACAACAACAACAACCGGCCTCAACCGAAATTCGTACCTCCGTTCTGCCATCTCTGCAAGACATCAGGTCACCCCCGCACACACTGCCCAAACCGGCAGCAGTCAACACCAACGCAGCGGCAGCTTCGACCCTCGAGCAGTCAAATCGCCTCAACGCAAGGGAACCCCACCACTCAAGTACAAGCCCCAACAACATCGACCAGAGGTCTACAAAAAAGTGCTATTTGAGTTTGTTTTGATATGTTTATACAGCTTATATTACAATGCATAACGAAGTGTGGATGTTTCATTGACTGGTTCAGATAAGCTGATAAGTCTCTTGTGTGTACCTACTTTCCGATACGTGGAAATTGCTGTCATCAAAGCGAGTCGCAAGTGCTCATAGGTGGATTCGAGCACAAAAATCTGGACTTGGCTGTCAGTCAAGTCAAGAAGACATGTTGCCCCCATTTAGGTTGCATGCCGCACAGGATTGCTGGCTCTGGTTCAAGAAAACGAATCTTGTTTGGCAGGAGGGCGAGAGAAGTGTTTTTCAGCGATACTGCTACTATAAGCACCGCATGTGCGCAGCTTCCAACGCGTCATATCGGACGGTCACACGCACGCGATGCTCAACGCAGCATTAGGTGCCGTCGATGACCCCTCCTTAGAACTTGGAGGAGTGAAAGGCGGCGAGACGCGCCCGTCCGAGCCGCTGCCTGACGGCAGCGGCGGTGGCGGAAATTGCTCTCCGCCTCCCGCGGATTCGAGCAGAGAAACTTCCGATAGTGGTGTCAGCGCTGTCGATACGGCAAACAGCGCCGCGGGTTCGGACGCCTCTACAGCGACACGCGGAGATGGCGCCGGCGGAGGTTGCGCCGGCGGCGCAGTGGAGGCGGCTCGCGGTGCGCGCGACGAGCAAGCGCAGACGGCGGAGACGGGATCCGCTGTAGCGGACGGAAACCTGGCGGGAGGGATGGCGGGGGGCGGAGGGACGGAGGGGAATGAGGGGATGCAGGGCGCCGCGCAAGGCGCCCGCAGGAATGGCGAGGTGGCGGGGGAAGAAGCGGGAAGCGCTGGCGCTGATGGCGCGGCGGAAGGTGTGGGGAGGCCGGCGAGGGACGAGGGGGAGGCGACGGGGAGAGGGGAGGCGGAGGGAAGCGGAAAGGAGGAGAAGAAGAGCGAGAGCAGCGGCAAAGAGCAGAATGCAGGGGGACAGGGGGGGAACGGGGAGGCGGAAGGAGGGGAGGGAAAGGCGGAGGAGAGAGAGGGGGTGGCGGGGAGGCAGCAGGGCGGCGGGCGGGGCAGGTTGCGGGAGCTGGTGCGGCGCGCGGAGCAGCAGCGGCGCGTGGTGGGTTACCTGGACGTGGGGCGCGAGGTGGCGCGCTCCGTGGAGCGCCACCACCGCGCGCAGCAAGTCGCGGGCGCGCCGGGTGAGGGGCAGGCAGTCGGGGGGAATGCTGCGGCGGGCATACTCTCCCCACCGCACGGCCACGCGCCTCATCACGCCTTCACGGATTCCATCCCCCTGCACGCGCCCCTGCACGCGCCACTGCACCACCCCCTGCACGCGCCCCTGCACGCGCCCCTGCACCACCCCCTGCATGCCCCGCTCTCCCCCCTACGCGCGGGCGGGCGGTTGCAGCAGCTTCAGGCGGAGGAGTGGGGGGGCGGGGAGGGGGGCATGGGGCGCGACGTGAGCACGAACAGCAACATGGGCGCAGCGGAGTGGCTGGAGGGGTGTTTGGAGGAGGAGGAGGAGTGGCAGCAGTGGCGCATCGACCCGCAGCAGCTGGTCATCAAGAGCTTCCTTGCCCGCGGCACGTATGGCTCCGTGCACCGTGGGGAGTACCGTGGGAAACAGGTGGCAGGTGCGTTGCAGGTGTGTGCTTCACAGCTGGTACGCAACCCGCATCTTCACAATCAACGGTGTTTCTTCATGCATTCATGCATGTGAACATGCATGACCCCATGTACGTGTGCGCATGGTGGTGCCATGGCATGTGCAGTGAAGCTGATGGATTGGGGCGAGGTGGACAAGGCATCGCGCGCCAAGCTCACCTTCCTGCGAGACGTGTTCGCCCAGGAGGTGCTCGTTTGGAGCACACTGCAGCATAAGAACATCTGCCAGGTGACGAACATCTGCCAGGTGACGAACATCTGCCAGGTGACCAACATCTGCCAGGTGACGAACATCTGCCAGGTGAGTAACAGCGGCAATGTGCTGTGAACCACACCCAGCAACGTCCATGTGTGTACTGTTCGCAACACATTGAACCGCTTCTGAATCTTCTCAGAGGCGCTTTGGAGAATTCTCGAAAGGGAAGGGAACCGCATGGCATTGCATGGTTGTGCTCACTTGTGCTGCGTGCATTGTGTTGTGGTAGTGGTGTGTTGTATCGCCACCTTCATCAGTGCCATCCCTCACCCCCCACCCTACCGCCCACCACACCTGCCACCCACACTGCCACCCACACTGCAGCCCACCGCTGCCCCACCACGTGTGCATGCGGAGTGGGGTGGCGCGTTTAGTTTGTGGGGGCATTGCTCGGCGGACCAAAGCTCGTACACCTTCCCGTCCATGGTGGAGGACCACCGGGGCGTGCTGCGCATGGGAAGCCACGTGTGGTGCTCGCTTGTGGGATATTCATCGCTCCCACCCCTGCTCCCACCCCTGCCCCCCACCCACTGCTCCCACCCGTGCCCCCCACCTGTACCCCCACCCGTGCCCCCCACGTGTACCCCCACCCGTGCATGCATGTGGTGTGCCTCGGTGCAGTTCGTGGGAGCAGTGCTGGGCGGGCCCGACTCGTACACCTTCCCGTCCACGGTGGAGGATCACCGGGGCGTGCTGCGCGTGGGCAGCCACGTGTGCTGCGTGGTGTTGGAGTTCCTGGCGGGCGGCACACTGAAGCAGCTGCTCATGAAGCACTACCACAAGAAGCTCTCCGTGCACCGTGTCGTGCACCTCGCACTGGACATCGCTGAGGGGTGAGGCGTGGTGAGGGGTGAGGCGTGGTGATGGGTGAGGCGTGGTGATGGTTGAGGGGTGGTGATGGGTGAGGCGTGGTGATGGGTGAGGCGTGGTGATGGTGAGGCGTGGTGATGGGTGAGGCGTGGTGATGGGTGAGGCGTGGTGATGGTGAGGCGTGGTGATGGGTGAGGCGTGGTGATGGGTGAGGCGTGGTGATGGTGAGGCGTGGTGATGGGTGAGGCGTGGTGATGGTGAGGCGTGGTGATGGGTGAGGCGTGGTGATGGGTGAGGCGTGGTGATGGGTGAGGCGTGGTGATGGTGAGGCGTGGTGATGGGTGAGGCGTGGTGATGGGTGAGGCGTGGTGATGGGTGAGGCGTGGTGATGGGTGAGGCGTGGTGATGGTGAGGCGTGGTGATGGTGAGGCGTGGTGATGGTGAGGCGTGGTGATGGTGAGGCGTGGTGATGGGTGAGGCGTGGTGATGGGTGAGGCGTGGTGATGGGTGAGGCGTGGTGATGGGTGAGGCGTGGTGATGGGTGAGGCGTGGTGATGGGTGAGGCGTGGTGACGGTGAGGCGTGGTGATGGGTGAGGCGTGGTGATGGGTGAGGCGTGGTGATGGTGAGGCGTGGTGATGGTGAGGCGTGGTGATGGGTGAGGCGTGGTGATGGGTGAGGCGTGGTGACGGTGAGGCGTGGTGATGGGTGAGGCGTGGTGATGGGTGAGGCGTGGTGATGGGTGAGGCGTGGTGATGGTGAGGCGTGGTGATGGGTGAGGCGTGGTGATGGGTGAGTGGTGTGGTGATGGGTGAGGCGTGGTGATGGGTGAGGCGTGGTGATGGGTGAGGCGTGGTGATGGGTGAGGCGTGGTGATGGGTGAGGCGTGGTGACGGTGAGGCGTGGTGATGGGTGAGGCGTGGTGATGGGTGAGGCGTGGTGATGGGTGAGGCGTGGTGACGGTGAGGCGTGGTGATGGGTGAGGCGTGGTGATGGGTGAGGCGTGGTGATGGGTGAGGCGTGGTGATGGGTGAGGCGTGGTGATGGGTGAGGCGTGGTGATGGGTGAGGCGTGGTGATGGGTGAGGCGTGGTGATGGGTGAGGCGTGGTGATGGGTGAGGCGTGGTGATGGGTGAGGGGGGAGGGGGGGGAGTGAGGGATGGGGCATCATACTTGGCAATTCCATGATGGATGCTGACTGTGATGATGGCATGGTAGGGTTGTAAGCTGGATAGCTGCATGCACTGTTTCTTTCATTGCGTTGATTTGCATCAGCCCCTGATTATCCCCTCCCACGCCCTTACACCTCTTGCTCTCTCTCGCTGCAATCTCTGCCGGGCGGCACAGGTTGGAGTATCTGCATTCGAGGGGCATCGTGCATCGCGACGTGAAGTCGGACAACATGCTGCTCGACAAACACCACCGGTGGGTGGGGGCACTGGCATAGGAGGCTTTTTGGCAGTCACCGGTGGGTGGAGGCGTCGGGATGTCAGCATGCGTGGCATGCGTATGAGATGAGCATCGTGCATCACGATGTGAAATCGCACCACCGGTGGGTGGGGGCATTGGGATGTGAGCGTGCGTGGCATGCGTATGAGGCTTGAGCATCGCGATGTGAAGCCCTGAAACATGCTGTGGGACAAGCACCACCGGTGGGTGAGGGCCGTGGGATGTCACCATGCTTGCCTGCTGCATGTGAGCCTTGAGCCAGTCTGCCAGTGTGTGTGGGTGCGTGGTGTCAAACTGCGGGCATTAATGGAACCGTCTCAAGCCAGCAATTATGAACCCTAAACTGCGAATGTAGGACTCCATGCAAGAAATAGAGAGTCATGCTCAATTGTGTAAATGCAATGGGTTCCAGGTGTTATGGAAGGACTGGACAAAAGTGCTGGCCCATACAGGTCTCGAACCTGTGACCTTCGCGTTATTAGCACGACGCTCTAACCAGCTGAGCTAATAGGCCTGATCCATAACCGTACGCTTGCGTGAGTGTTCATGCATCTGCGCATGTGTGCAAGCGTACATGTGTGCATGTGTGCATGTATGTATGCATGTACGCATGTGTGCATGTGTGCATGTGTGCATGTATGTATGCATGTACGAATGTGTGCATGTGTGCGTGTGTATGTGCATGTGCATGCAAGCTTGTGTGCACATGCGTGTATGTGTGCATGTGCATGTATGCCTGTGTGCATGTGCATGTGTGTTCATGTATGCTTTTGCGTGCATGTGTGTGTGCATGTGTGCATGTGTGTGTGCATGTGTGCATGCGGAAATGTGTGCATGCGGGAATGTGTGCATGCGGGAATGTGTGCATGTGTGTGTGATGTGCATGTATGCACGACCACAGGGTGGTGAAGATAGCAGACTTCGGGGTATCACGGGTGAAGTCAGACAACAGCACCATGCACCACAAGACCGGCACCTACGGCTACATGGCTCCTGAGGTGCGCTCCTCCGCCCCTGCATCCTCGCGTGTAACCTTGGCGCCTGAGCCATGCATGCTGGGCGCCTGAGGCATGTATGCCACTGGTTCGATGCATGCCACCCCTGCATGCTTACCTCTTCCCTCCTCGTTCTGTCCAATTCTTGCCTCTCCCCTTCCCCCAACTTTGTTGCCGTGATCTGCTGCACCTCGCTGCCTCTCCCCCCTGCTCCTCCTTCCTCCAACTGCACGTGCTGAAGGAGGAGCTCCCCTACGACCACAAGGAGGAGCTCCCCTACGACCACAAGGAGGAGCTCCCCTACGACCACAAGGAGGAGCTCCCCTACGACCACAAGGAGGAGCTCCCCTACGACCACAAGGAGGAGCTCCCCTACGACCACAAGGAGGAGCTCCCCTACGACCACAAGGAGGAGCTCCCCTATGACCACAAGGAGGAGCTCCCCTACGACCACAAGGAGGAGCTCCCCTACGACCACAAGGAGGAGCTCCCCTACGACCACAAGGAGGAGCTCCCCTACGACCACAAGGAGGAGCTCCCCTACGACCACAAGGAGGAGATCTACTGCGGCTCCACCCTTGTGCTTCCCCTTTCTGCGCACCTTGGTGCCCCCTTGCTGCACCGGGTGTGCCCAGCAGGTATTAAAGGAGCGCCCATACGACCACAAGGCGGACGTGTACAGCTACGGCATCCTGCTGTGGGAGATCTACTGCTGCGACAACCCCTTCCCCTACCATGACCTTGACCCCACCGAGATCGCCTCCACTGTCAACCAGGTGCCTCCACTGTCAACCAGGTGCCTCCACTGTCAACCAGGTGCCTCCACTGTCAACCAGGTGCCTCCAATGTCAACCAGGTGCCCTCCCATCACTGCACCCACCACTGCTCCCATCACTGCACCCACCACTGCACCCACCACTGCTCCCATAACGAGGCATTTCACCACAGGATCTCACATACGGAGATGCGCTTGACATAGAAAATGCTCTTAGCAATGTCCAACTTTGCTGATTGGATTCAACATGCTTCATCCTTCACCACCGTGCCCCTGCTTCATCGCTTGCCCCTTCTACCCAAGAGCATCCCGTGTTTCCTCTTCATTGGTATTCTCATTCTCTCGCACTCCCCCGCCCCTCCCCCTCCACCATGCACCCATGTGTCACCTCACCTGTTGCACATGTCAGGGCCTGCGGCCGGACATCCCATCGTGCTGCCCGCCACAGCTGGCGGAGCTGATGAGGCGGTGCTGGCATGGGGAGGCGGGCAAGCGGCCAGACATGAGTGAGGTGGTGAGGCGCCTCAAGGCCATCGACTGCCGCCACGCCACGCCCATGCGCCCCGTGGAGGGCGACGACTCCTCCTGCTCCCTCATGTGATGTGATGTCACTCACCGCCGCAACGCCTTGCATTGCAAGCTGCTTATGACAGGAGAGATGGCGTGACAGCCGTTTTTACCGCGCTGAATCGCCTCCGAAGCCAATGCAACCTGTGCAGAATGAGTGGGGTCTAATCTGGTGTTCTCATGTGGACTCTGGGTAGACTTCTCAGTTGTGGAAAGAATGATTGGGTATTCCGTACGTCCTTGTACAGAAGCGCCCTGTAATGCCGTAGTTAAACATCTTCTGGTGGCTTAGGGAAAGGGGTGCCAAACTGAACAGCCCCCTTTTGATTTACGTGTCACCACTATTTCCGGCCCATGGGGCATCGACTAGGTTAAACAGCTGCATGAGGACATCCTAGATCCAGATAGTATGGTAGACATTGCTTAGTTGTTGAATGGTAGTTTTGTATAATGGGTGCTTTCTTGTAAAAAGTTTTCACTGTAAGCAAAGCACGTGCAACATGTAAAAGGACATCCACCCACCACAATTTCCCGAACACGTCTTACAGAGGAGATGAGCAGAACCCGCGCGACAGGAAAAGCGAATAACTCATAGTGCGTTTACCAAACATCCACCATAAATTATGTAGTGAATACCTTGCTCGTGCGAGTGGAAACGCAGGCGAGGAACGCGAATGTGCAGCGGGGGGAAAATGATTAATGCGGAATAATAGTCCGAGAGTAAATAACGACATTGTACGTCAACCTCGCATTTCCTCCCCAAGTCAATGCACACCCCTTTACCGCTGCCCGACCTAGCTACAACTTCCCGTCGCCTCACTTCAATTTCGCGTCGCCCTCTCTTCCGCATCCCGTCGCCCATACTACCCTTTCCCGTCGCTTACCTGAGCGTAAGCCCTCACCATTCCCGTCACATTCCTGGGGGTAGCAATGACTATCCCTCCGCCCTCGCTTCCCCTTCTCAATGACCCTAAGCCATGGACATGAACTGTCATGAGTACCACCTTCAGATTCAGTCTATCTTGACCACCCTGATTGCGCAGTTACGGACAAACCAGCAGTAAACGAAGTTGGACCCGCCCTAATTGCTGCCCCGCATACGTACCTGGGCCTTTCCGCAACCTTTATCCTTGCTACCCTCGCCGTCATGGCCCGCTGGGCTCCGCACTCCGTGCTGCTCTTGGCGCTCGCAGCCGTCGCGCTCCTCGCCTTCCTTTCCGCCCTCCGCACGCGCCTGGACCACTCCCGCCGTCCACATACACCCTCCAGCGCCCCGTCTCCCGAACGCCATGGCCGTCACTCCAGCTACCGCCGGCGACTGGAGTCTCGGCGGGGCAATCCCGGGCGGAAGACGGTGCGGCTGCACGCGGCGACGGCGGAGGCGAACCCGCGGCTGGAGCACATCACGTTCGACCCGCTCGTGGCGGAGATGGAGGCGCAGCAAGACGACCGCAAGTGGGAGGAGGCGCAGTTCCGCCGGCGCGGGGAGGAAGTCCGCGTGGCGCACGGCGGCAAGGCGCGCGGAGAGGGTGACGCGGGTGGCGGGCGGAAAGGTGTGGAGGAGGTGGAGAAGATTGAAGCGGCGGACGAGGAGTTGAGGCGGCTAGAAGACAACCCCAACCCAGGTGGGCATGTGGACAGGGCAGGGCGCACACGCGCACAGTGAGGCAGGGCGCACACGAGCACAGTGAGTGAGTGTGGACATGCGTGTAGTGTGTGGACATGCGTGTAGTGTGTGGACATGTGTGTAGTGTTGTGAGTCGCCATGGTGCATGGTGCATGTGTGCCATGATAACCTGTGCCGTCCCACTGTAACCGTTTACTTGTTTCTACTCCTGCGTCCGTGCCCGTGCGCTTGCTTGCCCGTGCCTTTGAAATCTGCCCGTGCCCTTTCGGATTGTGTGCATGCATGGAGGGGCAGAGGCGGGGGAGCAAAAGGTGAATGTGACGAACCGTCTGAGGGTGCTGTTCCCACTCATTGACAGCGATGACAGGGACGGTCTCGTGTCTCTCAGTGAACTCGCCATGTGGCAGGTACGCCATGTGGCAGGTACGCCATGTGGCAGGTACGCCATGTGGCAGGTACGCCATGTGGCAGGTACGCCATGTGGCAGGTACGCCATGTGGCAGGTACGCCATGTGGCAGGTACGCCATGTGGCAGGTACGCCATGTGGCAGGTACGCCATGTGGCAGGTACGCCATGTGGCAGGTACGCCATGTGGCAGGTACGCCATGTGGCAGGTACGCCATGTGGCAGGTACGCCATGTGGCAGGTACGCCATGTGGCAGGTACGCCATGTGGCAGGTACGCCATGTGGCAGGTACGCCATGTGGCAGGTACGCCATGTGGCAGGTACGCCGTGTGGCAGGCAGGTACCCCAGTGGCGTCGCCATGTGCACCCCTCTTTGGCCCTGCCTGCATCCGTCCTGTCTCCCCCAACACCTCTCCTGCCCGCCTCACTCACTCCATTCTGTCTTGCACCTGCCCCACCCCCTCCCGTGGGAGCGCGCCCCCAGGTGCAGCAGGGGCAGCGCAGCAGTGAGCGGCGCACGCGGCGGGAGATGCAAGTGGTGGACAGCGATGGGGATGGCAGGGTGTCGCTCAAAGAGTACCTGCATGATGACTCGCCGGGGGACGAAGGTGGGCCCTGGGAGGGGGGGCTCTGTTGGTGATGCTTTTGGGAGTTCCCAAAAGCAGCACTAACAGCGATGGGAACGGCAGGTTGTTGTTTAAAGAGGACCTGCACGACGACACACAGGTGGTGGAAGGTGGGCATTGGGAGGGAGGGGTGTGTTTTGGGTCGACTCTAGACACAGGTGGTGGACAGAAATGGAGATGGCAGGGTGACCACACGCCGGGGGACGAAGGTGGGCACTGGGAGGGAGGGGACTAAAATGCAACAGGGGCTTCGTGCAGGGAGAGGTGAGGTGAGGTGAGGTGAGGTGAGGTGAGGTGAGGCGAGGTGAGGTGAGGCGAGGTGAGGTGAGGCGAGGTGAGGTGGATCATGAGGTGGAGTGGAAGAAGTGGGTGTGTGGTTTGCGTTTCTGAAAACAGTCAAGATGCTTCGTTGTGGGGGGTCATGCAACAGCTTCCTTGTTCCTGCTCCCCAGCAACACCCCTCATGAATCCACTTGCACCACCTTAAAGCCAAAACACAAAACCCCGAAACCTTTTAAACTTGATGGTGGATGCGTGGTGCATGTGTGGGTGCATGGTGCGTGTGTGTGGCATGGTGCGTGCGTGGGTGCATGGTGCGTGTGTGTGGCATGGTGCGTGCGTGGGTGCATGGTGCGTGTGTGCGTGCATGGTGCATTTGTGGCATGGTGCATGTGTGGCATGGTGCATGTGTGGCATGGTGCATGTATGTGTGGTATGGTGCATGTGTGGCATGGTGCATGTGTGGCATGGTGCATGTATGTGTGGTATGGTGCATGTGTGGCATGGTGCATGTATGTGTGGTATGGTGCATGTGTGGCATGGTGCATGTATGTGTGGCATGGTGCATGTGTGGCATGGTGCATGTGTGGCATGGTGCATGTATGTGTGGTATGGTGCATGTGTGGCATGGTGCATGTATGTGTGGCATGGTGCATGTATGTGTGGTATGGTGCATGTGTGGCATGGTGCATGTATGTGTGGCATGGTGCATGTGTGGCATGGTGCATGTATGTGTGGCATGGTGCATGTGTGGCATGGTGCATGTATGTGTGGTATGGTGCATGTGTGGCATGGTGCATGTATGTGTGGTATGGTGCATGTGTGGCATGGTGCATGTATGTGTGGTATGGTGCATGTGTGGCTTGGTGCATGTATGTGTGGCATGGTGCATGTGTGGCATGGTGCATGTATGTGTGGTATGGTGCATGTGTGGCATGGTGCATGTGTGGCATGGTGCATGTATGTGTGGTATGGTGTATGTGTGGTATAGTGCATGTGTGGCATGGTGCATGTATGTGCGGTATGGTGCATTCGTGGCATGGTGCATGTGTGGGTGCATGGTGCGTGTGTGTGGCATGGTGCGTGCGTGGGTGCATGGTGCGTGCGTGTGGCATGGTGCGTGCGTGGGTGCATGGTGCGTGTGTGCGTGCATGGTGCATTTGTGGCATGGTGCATGTGTGGCATGGTGCATGTGTGGCATGGTGCATGTATGTGTGGCATGGTGCATGTGTGGCATGGTGCATGTGTGGCATGGTGCATGTATGTGTGGTATGGTGCATGTGTGGCATGGTGCATGTGTGGCATGGTGCATGTATGTGTGGTATGGTGCATGTGTGGCATGGTGCATGTATGTGTGGTATGGTGCATGTGTGGCATGGTGCATGTGTGGCATGGTGCATGTGTGGCATGGTGCATATATGTGTGGTATGGTGCATGTGTGGCATGGTGCATGTATGTGTGGCATGGTGCATGTATGTGTGGTATGGTGCATGTGTGGCATGGTGCATATATGTGTGGCATGGTGCATGTGTGGCATGGTGCATGTATGTGTGGCATGGTGCATGTATGTGTGGTATGGTGCATGTGTGGCATGGTGCATGTATGTGTGGTATGGTGCATGTGTGGCATGGTGCATGTATGTGTGGTATGGTGCATGTGTGGCTTGGTGCATGTATGTGTGGCATGGTGCATGTGTGGCATGGTGCATGTATGTGTGGTATGGTGCATGTGTGGCATGGTGCATGTGTGGCATGGTGCATGTATGTGTGGTATGGTGTATGTGTGGTATAGTGCATGTGTGGCATGGTGCATGTATGTGCGGTATGGTGCATTCGTGGCATGGTGCATGTATGTGTGGTATGGTGCATGTGTGGCTTGGTGCATGTATGTGTGGTATGGTGCATGTGTGGCATGGTGCATGTATGTGCGGTATGGTGCATTCGTGGCATGGTGCATGTATGTGTGGTATGGTGCATATGTGTGGCTTGGTGCATGTATGTGTGGTATGGTGCATGTGTGGCATGGTGCATGTGTGGCAGTGCACGTGGAGGGCGACGATGGCATGGCTGAGTTTGTGAAGACGGCCAGGGAGCGTTTTGCACTGGCGGACGCAGATGGGGATGGCTTGCTCAACCAGGAGGAGTTTAACGAGTGAGATGTGGGGCATGCTGCCCTCCTGCCACGTGCTGCCCTCCTGCCACGTGCTGCCCTCCTGCCACGTGCTGCCCTCCTGCCACGTGCTGCCCTGCTGCCACGTGCTGCCCTGCTGCCACGTGCTGCCCTCCTGCCACGTGCTGCCCTCCTGTCATGTGCTCGCCATGCCTTGCTGTGCATTCATCTGTCTGCTGTGTGCATGGCATATAATAGATGTCACCATGTGCTCACGCTGCATCTGTGTCTGCCCTTTCCATCCTGAGTGACCTCATAAGATGAGCTCGCTCCCCCACCCCCCTGCCATCCCGTGCGTGTGCGGCAGTCTGCTGCACCCAGAGGACAGTCAGAATGAGAAGCTTATAGACTCAGTCCGAGATGAGGAGCTCAGGTCAGCCATGCCTGCCATGCCTTGCCTCTTGTGCCATGCCTACCATGCCATACCTACCATGCCATACCTACCATGCCATACCTACCATGCCATACCTACCATGCCATACCTACCATGCCATACCTACCATGCCATACCTACCATGCCATACCTACAATGCCATACCTACCATGCCATACCTACCATGCCATACCTACCATGCCATACCTACCATGCCATACCTACTATGCCATACCTACCATGCCATACCTACCATGCCATACCTACCATGCCATACCTACCATGCCATACCTACCATGCATGCCTGCCGTGCTATGCCTGCTCTGCCATACCTGCTGTGCCATACCTGCTGTGCCATGCCTGCTGTGCCGTGCCTGCCGTTCCAGGCTAGCCATGCTGTACCATGCCATGCTGTTCTGTGCCGTGTCGTGCCATACTGTGCATGTCGTGCCATGCCATGCCATGCCATGCTGTGTTGTGCCATGCCCATGCTGTACTTCCATGCAATGCTGTGCCATGCCATCCACGCCATCCATGCCATCCATTCCATCCATGCCCTGTTCCCTCAGTCTCCTGGAGCATCTTGCTCGGCGTGAGCCTGGTGGAAAGCAGGCCGTATTTCTGTTATGCAAGCTCCCACTTATGCGTGTGCCCGCCGTGCTGCAGGGCGCGGGACACAGACGGGGACATGCGGCTGTCGTTTGAGGAGTTTCTGGACGGCGTGTATGAGGAGGTGGCGCAGTTTGACGAGGAGTACGTGCGCTGGGAGGCACACCGCTATGATGTCAACAGTGATGACTACGTGCCGCCCGACATGCCACATGGCAGCAAGGCAGTGGAGCACATGAGCGCTGCGGAGAAGCGCGCTCATGCACGCACGCGGTTCGATCAAACGGACGAGAATCATGATGGGTGCGTGCTGCACTGCCAGGTGGGAGTGTCTATGAGTCAACTCGAAAGAGCATAAGTGCGGCGGGGCAGCGGGCGTATGCACGCACGCAATTCGATCACATGGATGCGAATCATAATGGGTGCGTGACGCACGGGCAGGTGGGCGTGTTGTGCTGGGCGAACATGCTGGATAGAGTGTGATGGCAGGCTGGTGCATTGCTTCTTTAGTCATCCGTGTCTTGCTCTCTCACACGAGTGTGTTCACGGCTGCTTGCTGTGTGGGGGAGTGGTTTAGCATTGCAACATGCCAATTTTGGAAAAAAACTTACCACTTTTCTCAAAAATTGCACTTGTTGGCCCTTGTGCTTGCACGGGTTGGTGGGCCGGGCAATGGGCATGCACCAGGTACCTGGATGCGAGTGAGTTTGAGGACCTTGTGTACGCCATCGTGCCGAACGAGTACCACTTTGCAGAGGAGCAAGCCAAGCACATGATGATGGAGGTGAGCACATGATGATGGAGGTGAGCACATGATGATGGAGGTGAGCACATGATGATGGAGGTGAGCACATGATGATGGAGGTGAGCACATGATGATGGAGGTGAGCACATGATGATGGAGGTGAGCACATGATGATGGAGGTGAGCACATGATGATGGAGGTGAGCACATGATGATGGAGGTGAGCACATGATGATGGAGGTGAGCACATGATGATGGAGGTGAGCACATGATGATGGAGGTGAGCACATGATGATGGAGGTGAGCACATGATGATGGAGGTGAGCACATGATGATGGAGGTGAGCACATGATAGTGGAGGTGAGCACATGTAGGCGCCACATGGCATGTCTCTCCTTGGTCATTGCAGGCTTGCTGTGGTGCCTAACTTGTATAATGTGGTGGTGGTGGTGGTGGTGAATGCGGCATGTGACGGCAGGCGGATGACAACAAGGATAAACGACTGTCGTTGGAGGAGATGCTGGCGCACTGGGATGTGTTCTACGATGCTATGGATGAGGAGGGGGATGACTCTTATCACTGGCCATCAGATGATGACCATGATGAGTTAAGATGACTTAATTTGACATAATGCACTCCGCATTAAATTCATTATCATGTCGTATTTATTGCTTGCTTTTAGTTTCAGAGATTCGCATTGTTAGAGTTCCAAACAGTGGTTCGAACATACCGTCACACCCCGGATATGCCCCCGGATAAACCCCATGGCCAGGTTTTTTTAGGGGGGTGGGCTTATAATCGAGGATTTTTATAAGCGCCGGGGCTTATACAATGACATATATGAAATCTAGTTGTTTTCACTCCAAAGTGTTCATCTTGTCATTGCGATTTCAATCGAGTCAAGATCATAGTAGGTGTGAAGAAGAATCTCGCGCAAGTTTGCAAGGTGCCAAAACACAAGTCAGAATGAGTCATTTCGCCCCATGACAGCTCATTATGACTGGACGCGCAGTCAATGAGTCGCGCGAGGGAGAGGCAGTGAGTCGCGCGAGGGCTAAGGGTCGAAATTTCACAATGTGAGGATGCAAATAGTGTGTTTCGCTACAGAGATTCCAGTAACTTTATTAACACTAATACAAATAGTGGCTCTTATAATACGTAAGCCTTCAGGGGGTGCGCTTATAATCGAGGAGGGGATATAAGCGCCATATGCCAATTAAAAGCGCCAGGCGCTTATCCTAGGGTGGCGCTTATATCCGCGAGAAGTTGACAAGCAGTTCGAACCTCAATAGTCTCGATAGTCGACTACAGGATCGACCTGGAACCGCAATTAAAACATGAATAGATAAGCAAGTAGGGGCAGCAGCACGCCCTTATATGGTAATATTGTACTTGAAGGTACTGGTATAAATCTCCATCTACACCTCACTATCGAACTCCCTATATCTCATGTATCACAAGGGGAGCTGGTCATACGTGTTCGCAGACGTACTTCGCAAAGCAACAAGGGCACGACAAAATCTGTACACGTCTCGCTTTTGTTCTCCCGCCTCTTGCGCCGCCGACACTTTCATACGACCAGCACCAATGCACGAACCCGCAATCGTGCGTGTGAAATGCAGCCCAATACTATCAGGTTAGGGCGTGTAAAATCCATGTGCAAGTGCGAAATTGGGGTTTGACCGAATTTTTGTCGACCATGTGGTCGACATTTCTTTTGCGAAAGTCGACTTGGTTGTTGAAACAGTAGGCAAGAATTAGAAGAGAAAAGAGAGGTTTGACTAACAGGCAGGTGGGATACAAGTAGGAAACCCTAACAGGATTGTACTCACTACAGCATACTCCACTACAGCCTACACAATGTTATACGGTATTCTGACACACCCCCATAGGCAAAGTGGGGTATGATCAGCACAGCAAACAATCACATAAGAAGTTCACATGCATAAGCTAGTAGTGGAAACAGAGGGCAAGTGAGGCGGAGGAAGAAGGCTCGCGGCGCAAAGGAGCACGGGGCGGTCTCACACACCCGTCACCCCCATACTCGCCACCCCCACACTCGCCACCCGCGGGGAGGAAGAAGGCTCGCGGCGCAAAGGAGCACGGGGCGGCGCACCGGGAGCACGAGGGGCGCGCTCGGGTCACCAAGGCGGCGCGACGGGAGCACAGGGGGCGCGCGCGGGTCCCCAGGGCGGTGCAACGGGAGCGCAGGGGGCGCGCGCGGGTCCCCAGGGAGTCAAATTATATAGGGGTTATACACTTGTAGGCTGTAGTGGGGTAGCACTAGGGGGTACAGTATTTTTCTCGACATTCTTCTTGTACCCCTCCTTGACCTAATGCATTCACTCATAGCCTAAGTTCTAAGATGGTATCTAGAGCAGTAGGTCTTAGGACCTAAGATTTGGGCCAACCGGTTACCGTGTTACCTCACCTACGGCCTTATCAGCCTTGCCTGCTGCCCGCGCGCGCCTCGGCTGCGCACGCGCATAGCCTTTTTTTTTAGCGCGCGCCACTGCTGCCAGCCGCGTCGCGCCCCGCTAGTCGCCCGCGCAGCCCGCCCTGAGCCCGCGCAGCCTACGCGCGGCCTGCAGCTGCCCCGCGCACCGCCCGCGCAGCCCGCGTCGAGCCCGCGCAGCCCGCGCCGAGCCCGCGCAGCCCGCACAGCCCGCGCGCAGCTCGCGCACTGCCCGCGCAGCCCGCGCCGCGTTCTATCAGCCCGCGCGCAGCTCGCAGCCGCGCGTGCCCTGCCCTGCCTGTGCGCCACCGCCGCCCGTGCGCAGCACGCCTGCCTGCCTTGAGCGCCTGCCTGCCTTAAGAGCCTGCTCCCTGAGCCTCCTATCTGAGCCTGCAGCCTTTACCTGCTGCCTGAGCCTCCTATCAGTTGCCGGCGCCACCATATTGCCTCACCTGCGCCTGCCTGCTGCCTTACCCTAAAGTCTTTGCCTGCTGCCTGAGCCTGCTGCCGAAGCCTACTTCAGTTGCCTGCTGCCTGAGCCTGCCTGCTGCCTGCGCCTGAGCCTGAGCCTGAGCCTGTGCCTGCTGCATTTCCCCGCCCTGTGACCATGGCGACTATTTCTGTTCAGTTTGACACCTGGCTCAGTGACCTGCAGCTCTACCTTTTGACTAATACCAAGGACGGAGCCTCTCTGCTAGACTATGTCAATGGCACTGCCCCTGCTCCCGCTGCTACTGCTCCTGCCTCTGAACGCGCTGAATGGCAGACCCGCGATGCCCTTGCCCGCCTAGCTATTCGCAACCACCTGCCTATCTCCGAGCGCGCACACTTCAACCAGCTTAAGACTGCTAAGGAACTGTTTGACGCAGTAGTTGCCCGCTATTCCGCCCCAGCCACTGCCGCCGTTGGTAGCCTCATCCTACCCTACCTTTTCCCCGACCTCGCCTCGTTTTCCACTGCTGCAGACCTCATCTCTCACCTCCGCACTAGTGACGCTCGCTTTCGTACCGCTCTCTGACGAGTTCCTCGCCGAGAACAAACCCCCCCTGTACTTTACCCTCTACATCCTAGTCACCCGCCTTCCCGACACGCTCCGTTCCGTTAGGGACTACTTCCTCGCCAAAGACCCTCCCACCATCACCCTAGATGACTTCGAGCAGCAGCTAGTTGCAGCTGAGAAGAACATTCTTGCTGTGAATGCTGCTCGTGGCACTCCCCGCACTCCCCTCTTTGAGGGATGCTCCCCCTCCCCTCTTACCCCCTCCTATGCCTCTGCTGCTGCTGCTGTTGACCTTCTCGGCGCTGAGAAGGTCAACGCCGCTTCTACTCTTGGTGGGAAGCGCGGCGGAGGCAAGGGCGGCAAGGGTGGCAGGGGTGGCGGAGGTGGCGGTGGAGGGGGCGGTGGTGGAGGCGGCGGGGGTGGCGGCGGTGGTGGGGGTGGCCGTGGGAGTGGAGGTGGTGGGTGGGGTGGTGGCAGGACCGGGGGCGGTGGTGGCGGCAGCGGAGGTGGTGGGGGAGGAGGCAGCGGCACTGGTGGTGGAGGTGGGGGTGGAGGTGGATCTGGCCAGAAGAGTGGCGCTGGTGGCGGCCAGCAGCAGCAGCAGCAGCAGCAGCAGCAGCAGCAGCAGCAGCCACAGCAGCAGCAGCAGCCACAGCAGCAGCAGCAGCGTCCGCCTCTCACCTCCCAGCAGCTCAATGACTGGTATGCTGGGCGTGGGGCGTCTAAGGGCTCTGACCGCTGCCCCTATGTCATTCGCACAGGTCCCCGCCAGGGTCGCACCTGCGACGGTTTTCACACTGAGTTCCGCTGCTTCGCTAGGCTTAGTGACGCCTGGCGCGCAAAGTATCCTGATGCTACTGAGTTCCCCAACTGGGCAGATCTGCTTAGGCGTGGTGTTCCTATCTTTGATCTGGACTATGATGCTATTCTTGCTGCTATGTATGCATTGACTGTTAGTGCTGAGGGTGACTGTTACTTGTGTGTGCCGCCTGACCCAGGTATAGAGGCTGCTGCCCTAGGTGCTAGTGAGTCTGCTCTCCCTGGTACTGCGTCCGCTCAGGCTTTGCACACGTTCACACTTGACTCTGGTGCTTCGCGCTGTTTCTTTCGCGACAGCACCACTGTCACCCCTCTCCCTGCACCTGTTCCTGTCTCACTGGCTGACCCCTCTGGGGGTCCAGTGCTTGCACGGGCCACGACTGTGCTTCCGTGCCCAGCGGTCCCGTCTGGTGAGCTGTCTGGTCTCCATGTTCCCTCGTTCTCTACGAACCTGGTGAGCAACGCCGTCCTTCAGGATCACTGGGTTGACACCTGGACTCCTGGAGGACAGCGTGTGGCGATCTGTACATGCTCCAAGACCGGCCGCCACCTGGCCACGTTCACACGTGAGCCAGGGTCTAGTCTGTACACCCTCACCACTGTTTCACGCTACACTCCTTTGTCTCCACAGCTGTACGCGTCTGCTCAGGTTGCTACCCAGTGTGAGTGCCGCCGCCTGTCCCACGACACTCTCCTTTGGCACCACCGCCTTGGTCACCCCTCCCTGCCTCGCCTTCGTAGCATGCACTCTCGCTGCCTGGTCTCTGGCCTTCCCAGGTCTCTCCCTGCCCTCCCTCCCTCGCCTGCGCCGCCCTGCATTCCTTGCGTCGAGGGGCGGCAGCGCGCCGCTCCTCACTCCTCCTCGTTCCCTCCCACTGAGGCTCCACTGCAGACTCTCCACCGGGACGTGTGGGGCCCGGCCCGTAGTTGATGACTACACGCGCTACACCACGGTCTTCCCCTTGCGCAGCAAGGGGGACGTCCCTGCTGTTTTGATCCCCTGGATCCGCGCTGCTCGTCTCCAGCTTCGCGAGCGGTTCCAGTCGGACTTTCCTGTCTTGCGTCTGCACTCTGACAGAGGTGGTGAGTTCTCCTCCGACCTCTTGCGAGCCTTCTGTGAGGAGCACGGCATCACCCAGTCGTTCACGCTTCCGGCCTCTCCACAGCAGAATGGGGTTGCTGAGCGCCGCATTGGCTTAGTTATGGAGGTCGCTCGTACCTCCATGATCCATGCGGCGGCTCCCCATTTTCTGTGGCCGTTTGCAGTCCGGTACGCCGCGCATCAGCTCAACCTCTGGCCTCGTGTCTCCTTGCCGGAGACCTCGCCCACGCTGCTGTGGAC